GAAGGAAACGAGACCGAAAAGAAGAGATAAGGCAGATATTTGAAATGTGCTCCAAACAAACCATAAAATATTTCCTGTGATGCGGTTGGGTTAAATTGTTAATGTGTCACATTGTCTTGAATTGTCATACGATATAACCTGTAATCGGGAGGTTGTAAAATCTTTTATGCCCTCTTGGTTTTATTTTCAGGATCTTTTCATGGTGATTGGTTTGTTTATCTTTTGCAATTTTGTCTGCACAATGTTCAGAGGTTGGTTCAAAAGTTGCTCATCAGTTTGTTCGGAGTTTGTGTTGCCCGCTCATCTAAAATGGCAAAAGGGAGGGGATGCACACGGTCTGGAAAAGCCAACGGGAAACGGAAGCACACTCACCAAGTTTACATGTTTACACAGTTTCGATGCTGGCATTTGGTCATGAGGAGGGGTGGAAAAAAAGCATTGAACATATGGCAATTTATTCTTCGTAGCCTACGACATTTGTTGCTAGAGTGGTAAAAAGAAGGCTTGCACCTGTTTGTCTCGTTCATTTAGTCTGATTCAGTAACATGCTTGAAGCTCCAGATACTGTGAGAGAGCATCATGACCACACGGGGGTTGAAATAATTCAAGTTAATATTTCTATTTCAAATAGAGGCTATTACACACTGTATGTTGTGTATCTGAACTGGAAAACATTAAAAAGAAACTAAACAAAAAAAAAACATTGGTAACAAATTCTTTGCCATCATCTTCTTTGTGACATTGTTAAAAAAACAATTGTAGTTAGGAGATATCACTATTTTTGCTAATCTGCTCGACAGGATATTTGTAAAACACACATTGTTTAGCAACTGGATGAATTGATCAAAGTGATGGTTGGATCCCAAAGAACATGCTACTTTTTAATGTTCTGCGAAGCACATTTGGACACCAGAATGTTCCAAATTTCTTACACTGGGGACCACCATTTTTGTTGCATTCGGTTTGACAGCTGTTTTTCAGTGATTTTTGGGTGCAGAATCCAAAACTGATCTCAGTTTTTCCCGATCACATCAAGTTTTTGCGCGATAGGATCCCCGTTTTCTTTTTTTAAAAATCTGGAATAAATATGTATGTATGTAAATAAAAGACTTAGATTGAATAGTTAAAAAAAAGCTTTGAAAATTAACAATAAAAAACAGCAAAAGAAATAATAACTTACTCTGCCCATGTTTTAGAGAAAACACAGCAGTAAACCTCTTAATTCCGATACTGCTAGCTTTCTGCTTGCAGATATTGATAATACTGACATACTGGGAGCTGCACACACCTCTCACCACACCATCTCTGGAGGGCAAGCTGCGGAGAAAAAAACAAACTTGTGCTATAGACGTGCTCGAGAAAAACTGACTGCAATTTTAGTTTCAGCATGATTTGAATGAACGAGCCGTCGATCACAATTTGCAAAATGGCGTCAGCGGCAATTGATCACTCTGACTGGCTGTTAGTTGGCGGATCAATTCATGAGAGAGAGGTAGCCTACAAAAGCAAAGCAACGGCAAAGAAATTGTAAAAAATGAATTAAAGTCAGCAAAGCATTGCTTTTTAGTTGTTCCTGCTTGTATGGTGAGTGCGTTGGGAACGATTCTGTATATGTCCGCATTTTATTTCATGATACCCTAACTGTGGATGGTATGGTAAACAAATGACTTCTCGGTTACAGAGAGAGCTTTACACTCTCGAGTGAGATGTTCTGTCATCCTGGCCACCCCGCCGAAAAACTTCCCGCAACGTTCCTTTGTCTGGATCTTGCTCTCCTCCCCCTGAATTTTCGAAATTTAAAGTTTGAAATAATCGCCTTGAAATATCGCTTCAATAAGGAGTTGACTCCTAATTTATGGATGGTGTACACAACATTCATTTCCTTTGTCTAAAGCTCGGCACATTCATCATAAATAGATTATATTGTTCAGATGACTGATGCAGACTTTAGTGGCATCATTTTTCTCCTGTGCTCGAGCCAATTACCTCTGAAGATAATAATGCTTTCCCTGGAAGCAACGCTCCGGAAGTACTGCTCGTTCATCACTAGATGGCAACGTACACCGATCATTCAAGGTAATTTGGCTCCAGCGCAACAAGCTTTTTTTTTAAATCGCTAAAGAAACAAATAAATGAAGTCATTTGCATTACAATTGATGGCGTTTTCAAGCAAAGTTGCACAAAATAATTAAAAGGTTTCATTTAAATACAGAATTGATATATTCTGATGTGAACTTTATTTCTTTTTTTCTTATAGACACTCAGTGGGCAATAGTTGTGAGATTTCTCTCAGCAAATTAAATCTAAAAATAATTACAGGAAAGGGTGATCGTAGAAAACAAATTTAATTGAAGTAAGTCATGAATTTGTCACATTTTGGTTTGAATGTCGTCCATCCTCGGTGTGGAGTATGCTTGTTTTCCCCTTGTGTTTTGTTTCTTTTTGGGGGGCCGCTGTTCCTCCCCATCGAAAGAAGCCAGATAGGGTTGCTCGAGCATCTATTTTGCCTCATGTCCCATCAGGAGGAGGCAACCCAGGACACACTGGAGAAATCCACATGCTGTTGTGAGAATGATGCGCTCCGAAATTAAAACATCAATTAAGGTTTGAATGTAGCATAGGTAAAAACTATTCATATGCTGTACGTGAAGACGGTTCAGTTCGACTGTATATCATATTTCAAAGCTTGTTGGATTCCAGCATTCCATTTGACTGCCATGGTACAGTATATCCAAATACTTCACCAACACCACAGCAGGAATTCCGCACTCTTCAACAAGGATGTGCAAAATTCCGCATGCTTAAAATGCTGGCAGTTGAAAAAAAATGTCTGTTCAGATAAATGCATCACTTGGTTCGCCTACATTAATTCTGATTGCCGTAACTCCAGATTAGATTCAAAAGGCAAGATGGTTGATGGTTGGATGAATAACAATGCTCAGTCACTCTAAATGATTTATTTGGGCTGTGAAGGATTGTTGCTCCCACTCATCTGACTAACAGTTTCCATTGGCATGCAGGCTGAGGGAGAGGGCAGCAAAGGACAGCTACGACAGCACATTTGATTTCTATTACCGGTGCAATACATTTTGGATTTGATCCACAGCATGTCTGATCTTATTAAGGACATTTTGAAAGGGCATGTGCTTCCAAACATCCATTTTCTTCCCCTTATCCAGGGGTTGGATCGTGGGGGCAGCAAGCATAGAAGCCTAGACTCCTCTCTTGCCAACCGCTTCTGGGTGGGCACCCAAGACGTTCCCGGGTCAGTCAGGAGACTTTCAGCAACTGTTTCCAATCAATGGCCTGAGAAGGCCTCATAGTGAGTTCAGCTCCAGGTTCAAAGAATAAACAACCACAATTACACAATGATGCTTCTGGAAATATAAATAAAAACTAACTAAAACTAATCCTTAAAAAGATTGACATACAAATGAAAATAATTGTCATAATATTCTGCCTATTACTGACTGCTGGTGGCAAATTGTGTCACATAAATCACATTTACTCTAAACCCAGCCATCCATCCATTTTTCTATCCATGATGCGTTTTCAATATCTTCTGGGTTTAGGGACTTTTAAAATCACCTTCATTGCCAGAACTTCATAAATAAGTCCCTGCCAAGTAGCACAAATAGGGAATTGACTAAAATTGCATTTGTTATCATCCTGCAGTAGTTTATATTTCCCACTTGATGGCAGTGCAGGTTCATTTGTTGAGTGTTCCTGGAGTTTGCTGTGGGAAACACTTTACCGTACAAACAGTACGGTAGTTTCTCTACAATGTATGTAATAATATATGAATGGATGGATGGTCACAGTGAACGGTAAGGCATCAACGAAATCAAACAGCGTGAGTTAAATACTCAACAATCTTCGAACAATAACATTTGGATTATTGGGGACGAATTAATATTTTCTATTCCCCCAGTTTACATGATTAGATCCCCGCTGATGGTGTCTTTTTTTCGTTGGGTAACTGTTTTGCTGCCCTTTTCTTGAATCAAGTTTGCACATGCTGAGTAAAAATGCTCCAAAAGATGCGTAGAGGCGCACATCAACCCAGCAGGGGGCCACATACAACACATTTTTTGGCCTGAGAAGCAGTCCGCGTTAGTTCTGCACCAAAGATTGCTGATTGGTCCAAATAATCACATGACTTCTGGTAATACCCAATAGGGATTGAGCGGATCCAGGTTGTTGCTATGGCATTTCAGAGACATCTGATAGCAGTTAGCTTTCCTCTGCATTTCATCCGTAGTTTTCTCTCACACATCGAGCACTTTCGACCGACCCCCTGACAATTTTACTACCCAAAATAGGTGAAATAAGAGTGGGGGTGACGGGTGGTCGGTCCCCTACACATAATCCACGGAGCTAAGTACCACCCCCTGCCCCCTCCCTTTGGTTCCTCTGTCATGTAGGCTCAGAAAACACTCGCAGCCCTTCCCATCTGTTGAGACAGTCCGAAGAAAATGGCCGAAGCCGTGAATAGTACAACACCAACCCACGAGAGCGAAAATCATTCATGAAATAATATTAAATGCCCCCCCCCCCAGTATAGAATGGGATGTGTCCCCATCTCACTCGGTTGAGAACGATACAATCAAAACAATGGGGAATAATTCTGATTCCATCTGCGTTCGGATGAAAAATGTTCGTGCAATATCCACTTGTAGCTTGTTGATAATGTGCAAAGCACATAAGTAAACGTGAGGAGATTTGTTGCGGATGTGGAATATACTGTAAGGCATATCTATTTCTCGGTGCTGGCTGTGGTCCAACTCTAAAACACACACACACGCACACGCACACACTCGTACACTCGCACACACGCACACGCGCACACAAACATATGCACACTAAAATTAAAGGGCCCCATACATGCCCCTCCTCCGCTCCCGTCACACTTACTACACTAGATCACACATTCCATCCTCTGATTGGCTCATGTCTTGAGATTGGCAGCTGGTTGGCCCGCCTTCTTCTGGTTGCTCGGTGAGCCCGAGCGTTGCAGAGCGGATTGGAAACAGGAAGAGGACTAAAGGGGGGGAGAAAAAAGGCACGGTGGAGAGGATCGGGTGAGACAAGGTGGTGAGGAGTGAAAGGGAGGTAAAGGGGTGCAGAGGGGTGTGTGTGGACCAAAAGACAGAAGACAAATAAGAGGTAAAAGTCGACTGCACGCCGGCAACTTGATCGCGTTCGATTTACCTCTGCCTTCTAGAAAGACACAGTTTACATTGTGCGTTGTAGTAGAGCTATTGGTGTCTGCAAATAAGTGTATGTCCATCCGTGCATTTGACCAGTTTCTTTTAGTCTACCTTTGTGTGCGTGTGCGTGTGCGCGAGCGTGTGCGTGTGTATAAGTGTGTCATTGTCCTGGGAGACACTGCGGTGTGCTGCACATTCAACACACACATGCAATGTCTTCTCACGTGCAAAAGATTTTCACGAACACTGGGTGCTGGGTGTGAATTGAGAAGCTAGTGGTGGCTGGCTGGGGCTCAACTATTGCAGCTGCTCAACTTAAACTGTTGACTATATGGTGTATGATGCAGTAATAAAAAGTGACATTGTAACGAGTCCAATACAGTCAAAATGAAACCTATCTATCTATCTATCTATCTATCTATCTATCTATCTATCTATCTATCTATCTATCTATCTAATCTTAAGATTCCTTGCATATCAATCTCTCTAGTCGTCAATCTAATGCCTCCTTGCAAAACCAGCTGTCTGATGTGCACACACAAACACATGCACGTGCATCCTGCAATGAACTCGTGAACCTGTGTCATTGTCTGCTATACATAGAGTTTTGTACTGTTTTTGGCAAACGACACCCCTCCTTCTCGCCCTTGACCTTGCCTTGGTACATTCCAGTACCCCCTCAGAGGGACGTGCTTTCTGAAGCATACAGCCAGAGAAGCTGCCATTATAGAAGGGGATACAGCAGAGGGAGGAAAGCAAGCCTGCTGGTTATTTTTAGAAATGGCATTGATATTCGGCTCCTACTGTACATTCTCCCAATTGGCTTTCATGCTTTTTTTTTTCTTTTTTCAATCACGCAATACAATCATACACTGTGTGTGTGAGATATCTGGGGCAGGCTGTCTGCCTTATCCATGTCAGTGCTGACTGTTGTAGATTCTCGCGTTGTCTCCATCTGTTCTCTTCGTGTCTGCTTCTCGTGTTAGCAACCCTGGAAGTCACTGGAGACGTTTGTAGTCTGGTGCGGCCCATCCTTCCTTTTATGGTATTGGATCACAGTTAGCCTTCCTGCATGCACACCCATGCACAGTTGCAAACATGCGTCTCAGTGAGCGATGCATGCATGCCGTGTTGCTCTGCAACCCAAGCCAGCATTGTCAGATTGCAAGAATTGTTTCATCAGGAAGGGATGAACAAAGACAATGAAATAGATCATCAGAAAATCTTTCAACCGAATGGTTGCTTTTACCCACATCTACTCTGTCGAAATTGCATATGTTCCCGTCCTCACTATAGGCCTTCCTATCAACTCTAGGCTAAATTATCATTGGTTGCCATGGATACAAGGACACATTGTGCAGGAGAAAGGGGAGGGTGAGGAAACAAGATAGCCATAAAGAGCATTTGTAAGGCGCAGTGTTTAAAAGTAACCATCCTAAATCAAGTTATGATTATAGCAAAGGCAATAAAGGCTGAGTCACGTGAGGGAAAGTAATGAGAGGATGTTTATCCATGTGTCAAAGACTACCACCCCTTCCTTCTTTCTGTCCTTATGTCATTCTTTGGGGAGAAAACACTCACAAATTGAACAATGCATATCATTGTGTGGATGGATGTGATGCAGAAGAAACACCACGCTTTATTTGAAAAAAAAAAAACTCACTACTGACAATGGTATTTCCTCACCCTGTCTGCTCTGTTTGTCTTTGCCAGAGAGTGGAGAGGCGGGCATGTCTATTTAAAGGCAGTTGAGACCGTATGGGTCTGCTGTATTTGCTATTTTGGAGTGACTGACTGACTGATTGAGAGCCCATCTCCTTTTTTTGCATCATCTTTCACTCCAAGGTAAAGATGCTCAAGATGTCAGTCAGTGGCTTCACCATTAGGGACACCAGATTGGCATCTAATACAAGGGCTGGATCAATATCAAGTATTTTTGTTTACGCTGACAAAGATATACATTTTTGTGTAGTGATTGTAAAATCCAGACAATTTTACAAGGGATACTAGTTTAACATTATTTTTACTTTAAAATAACATGCAACTGCACTGCATCTTACTCATAAGAAGTTGTAATATTTTGATTGTTACTGAAATATTATGAAAAAGACAACCATTGTGATGTACTGCGTAATACACGGTGTCAAACTCAAGGCCCGGGGGCCAGATCTGGCCCGCCACATCATTTTATGTGGCCCGCGAAAGTAAATCAAACATGTCAACTTCCATGACGCTTGTTAAAATCTCTAACATTTTAAATTATCATATGTAATGAACAAGAGATATAGTGTAAGCATTTTTTGTAACCAAACCCCTCACTACAGTAACTTAAGCAATAGCTGAAGAAACCGTTTTTATTTGGTTTCGGTCATAATCCCGAGATGAATAAAATAAGTGGATTTTTCTTCTTAATTCATATTCTGCAAACACAATATCAATCAGAATGCCATGTTTAGACTAGTGGGGGTTCATAGAACATATTATTGCAAAGAACATTTTTCACTTGGCTTCCCTTTTTAATGACAGAGAGATGACCAGGTTTCCTTTGTGATGGCAGAGCAGGAAAATAGTCCGTGTAGCTCGGGAGCGATAGCATTGGCTGTCCATAGATTTAAAAAAAAAATGAGTACAATTGCAATGCACTCTTCCATGCTGACTCTACCGTTTTGAATGTGTTTGTCCGAGTGAGTGGTATAGTCTGCACTTTCCTAACATAAGCCCTCATTGCACGTGACATCATTTGGGCCGCAGAGCCAAATTCCAGATGTATGGAGCTAACCCTGCACAGATGGGTTTAATATTGGTCTCACACACACAACGCTGTTGTGTTGAGTCAAACTGGAGCTGACGGTCAACTCCCCTTGTATTTTTGTAACAAGAGTGTGCATTCCACTGTGCAATAGTGAGACTCCAAAACAGATGGAGATATCTGTAGTCGGTGTAATTGTTAAATCCTCTCAAGTTTAAAGAACTGTAAGATGTGGTTTTTTTTTCTTTATCTGGGATCCAAAGTATCACATAAAACAAAAAGAAAAAAAGGTTGTCCTGAATTCGGGCCAGACGTCTTTTGAACTACTACAATATAGGATCTTCCCTGTACTAAACTAATAATTTTGAAGCTATAGCCAAGTATTACTGGTAATGTAACAAAATTTGTGGGCTGTTTAACATGTATTAATGGTGGGCTCGGACTAAATTACACATGCTACCAAAAAGAGCAAGTTCAAGCAAGGTCAAAGTGATGACCAGTTTAATTCCAGGCAGCATAAGTGTTTTTAAATGAGAGTATTGTGGTGACTGGAAGCACCAAACAGGAACGTTTTCTCCCCATGGTGCAGCTGTTTTAGGTCACACGGCAATCAATCGTACATCAAGTGCACATTGAATGTCGCAGAGTCATAATTACATGTGCATGGTAATGTATTGCCGAATTCTGAATGCCTGTTGTGCCTTTTTTTCTTCTCCAAGAATAAATCTAAATGAAATGGTCTTTACATGGCCTGAAGCCAAAGCGGGAAAAGATGTCTGGCTTTCAGTTGCTGTAGCAACTGGGTAGAAATTGACTCTTGAAGAGCTTCCTCACTTACCTCATTCACCATACCCAGTAACACAGTGAAGCTTTTAATGCATGGCTGCACGACACTCTATAAACACACTGTACGCAAAAAAAAAAAAAACGAAACCAGTGAAGGGATTGCCAACAAGTTGCGCGCGCGCACACACACACACACACACACACACACACACGTGTGTATGTATGTGTATATATATATGTGTATATATATATATATATATATATATATATA